GCCTACACAACATCAAATCTTATATTCTTTGGAAGATTTGTAATTTGATATTAAAATTTATTTCTTTGAAACAGTGACAAAATTACTATGAATAACAACAGGATTCTTGGGGAAAAAAGCTGACATGCACTATAATTGATTTTTTCTTATCACTATGCAATGATAGTGTTATGACTAGGACATAACAAGCATAACTGCCCTAAAACCATGACTTGAACTCTTTTTGTGATCTGCTTTAAAACCACTTGCTCTTAACACTCTCCCTTTCTCTGCACCCACTCTTTCCAGCAGCCAAGGAAGTTACCCAGTACTATCCTTGACAGCAGTGGCACAGACCAAAATAAAGTGATACTTCCAATGACAAAATGAAGTCATTGGAGTTATCTACTTATTTTAGTAGAGACATACGATTGTAATCTATATTTCACACAGAGAACATGTTTCACTCCGCCTTTCTGTGCATTGGAAGTATTTTTGAAATTTAACATTTTCAAAATTCAAAGGTTTACTCTCCTGCCAGATTTCAGATTTTCTTCCCCATTGATAATACTTTATTAATCTCATTTTGCACTTCAAATGCAAAACTGGATGTCAAAGAAATCTTTCTGATAGAAATCAGTTTGTTTATAGTTACTTGAAAAAGTCAGTATCTGGCATCCTGCTGTTTAGTTCCGACTACAATATTCCAATTAATTCAATGTTGAATGGCGAGGGATATAAGAAAATCTAACCTATTTATAGTTATTCTATAAAGTATCCAGCATCCTGCTGAATAGACTACAGAATTCCCATTAATTCATTGTTGAATGGAGAGCAAGATTTATTAAATCTGACTGATTCAATAATAATAATAATAATAAATTGTATTTCTTACCCACCTTGCCTCAAGGCTTGAGGCGAGGTATAACAATAGTTAAAATATACAGATAAAAACATTTAAAAATCCAAATAAAATGCATTTATTAAAAATAAAATTAATATTATTAATCAAATAATAAATGGCCACTTTAAAATTCATAGTTTAAAATAGAGTAAATGTGCTCAAAGAATGGAGAGCCAGCAAGGTGTAGTGGTTTGAGCGTTGGAATATGCTTATAGAGACCATGGTTCAAATCCGCAAATGCCCATGGAAATCTACTGTATGCCCTTGGGTGAGTACCAATCTTCCAGCCTCAGGAAATCCTGTGCTGGGGTCATCTACGCTCCTTGAAGGCACACAAACAACACATTATAATGATTCAGGACAGAATGTGGTCAATCTAGTAGGGTTGAAACACACCTGCTGGAGGTGCTGTGAGTGTGATATGGGGGGGGGGGCATGCCATTAAAATGTATTTTAATGTTTTTTTGTTCCACAGCACAACTTTTTTATTTTTCATAGTCACACTTGAAAGCATTTACTCGGATTTTGATGGTATAGTGTCATGCCTGTTATTCACCGCCATAAGTCCCTATATTGGGAGAAAAGTGAAATAAAAATAAATTGCAGGAAAAGAGAGTCCACTACTTGAACATTAGGAAGAACTTCCTGTCTGTAAGAACGATTCGGCAATGGAACTCTCTGCCTCAGAGTGTGGTGGAGTCTCCTACTCAGGAAGCTTTAAAACAGAAGACTGGGTGGACATCTGTTGGGGGGTGATTTGATTGTGTGCTTCTGCATGGCAGAATGGGGTGGGACTGGATGGCCCTTGGGGTCTATTCCAATGCTAAATAAAGTTCTAAATAAAGGAAATAGATTAGAATACTGTAATACGCTCTACGTAGGGCTGCCCAAGAAGAGCATTTGGAAGCTTCAACTGATTCAAAGATCAGCTGCTAGACTGCTTACAGAAGCTGGGTTTAGGGATGAACTACCCCCCGTTAAAACAACTCCACTGGCTATCAGTCTGTTTCCGGGCACAATTCAAGGTGCTGGCTTTAGTTTAAAAAGTCTTAAACCAGTGGTTCTCAGCCTGTGGGTCCCCAGGTGTTCTGGCCTACAACTCCCAGAAATCCCAGCCAGTTTACCAGCTGTTACGATTTCTGGGAGTTGAAGGCCAAAACATCGGGGGACCCACAGGTGGAGAACCACTGCCCGAAACGGTTCGGGCCCAGCCTACTTAGGGGACCGCATCTCYTTCTACAAACCCACATGAGCTCTGAGGTCATCAGGATARGACCTACTCTCGGTGGTGGTCCTGCGGCTCTGAAATTCTTCTTAAAGAGGTTAGAATGGCTACCTCCTTGCTTTAATTGTGGAACTGAAGGAGAAAATTAGTATTGTAAACACCAGTTTCATGTGTGCAATGTGCAACTACAGCCTAACACAGGCAAGGGCAAACTTGGGCCCTCCAGGTGTTTTGGACTTCAACTCCCACAATTCCTAACAGCCTCCAAAACACCTGGAGGGCCCAAGTTTGCCCATGCCTGGCCTGAAGGAATGGCTATTTGATAGGGTTTAACACTCTTGGATGTTTAAACTGTGTCTTAGTAGTTTATTTATTATGTCTATCACAGTTTTTATCATTGATATGTTGTGTTTTAAGGATTATGTTAATTTTTATGGTATATAATGTTTTTGCCACTTTAAGCCCCCATTCGGACTCAAATTAAATAAATAATCAATCTATACACATAATAAAAGTGAAAAAATAAAAGTGAAAATATGTATGTGTGCATGTGGTGCCCACTTCCACAGTCAGTCTCCCACTTCCACAAACAGCTATAACCCACAGTGCTGAGGAACCACCAAAAGTCCTCCTTCCAATGACATTTCAGGTTCTAGCGAGTGCCATGAACATGTAGCCCACCCCTGCCAATGTCCTCCCCAAACACCATACTGCCCACCACCCAAGGAATGCTTTCATTCAGGGACAATTTCATCCTAGATTTTACGTGTTTCCACCGCCACAGACACCCCAGTGTTTCTTACTCTCTCCATTGGTGTGGAATTTGTATGATCCCATCCACTGCCTCTCCCTTAACCCTTTCCTACTCTTTTCAACTCTGCCTGTACAACAAACTAATCAGCAACTAAACCAGTGGTTCTCAACCCAGCAGTGGGCCACACGAAAGAAAACCTGGTCCACCAACCTTCTTCCTCTTCATTTATTTATTTATTTTATTTCTACTCCTTTCCGCAGAGCAAACCAGCCCCACCCTTTTAGATACTAATGTTGGAGACTAACTTGGTCACTGGTCAAAGTGATCCCCAGTCAAGTGGGCCCTGGTCAAAAAAAGGTTGGGAACCACTGAACTAAACATACCGTTTAGGAGTTTGGGGGATTTACTCCACATGATGGGAGTCGTACTTCACCCTACACCAAGTCATAATATTGTGACCCCCACTGACAATGGACCTGGACCACATTTGGCAAACTGAATCTCCCATAACCAAAGAAAAATACTGGAGAGGTCTTGGGGGGGGGGGAGGGGGGTTTCACCTTGATATATAGACATTGTAGGTTCTAGGATTCATAGTTCACCCACAATCAAAAAGCACTCAGGACCCCACCAGGATGACCCTGGACCTAACTTGGCACACAAAAACCCCCATGACCAACAAAAAATATTGGAGAGGTTTGGGAGGAATTAACCTTGATTTATATTGTATATTGATTATATATTGTATATTGTAAGCCGCTCTGAGTCCCCTTCGGGGTGAGAAGGGCGGCATATAAGCGCCGTAAATAAAATAAATAAATTGATTGATAGCCATTGTAGGTACTGGGATTTAAAAGCACTCTGGACCCCACCAGGATAGCCCTGGACCTAACTTGGCACAGAGAAACCACATGACAAACAAAAAATACTGGAGAGTAGGGTGTTGTAGGTTTTTTCGGGCTATATGGCCATGTTCTAGAGGCATTCTCTCCTGACATTTTGTCTGCATTTATGGAAAGCATCCTCAGAGGTAGTGCGGATGCTTGCCATAGATGCAGGCAAAACATCAGGAGAGAATGCCTCTAGAACATGGCCATATAGCCCAAAAAACCACACAACCACCCAGTGATTCCAGCCATGAAAGCCTTCGACAATACTGGAGAGGTTTGGGGGGAACTAACCTTGACTGATAAACGTTGTAGGTACTGGGATTTATAGTTCACAATCAAAAAGCACTCTGGGCCCCACCAGAGTGCTGTGTGGACCTAACTTGGCAAACAGAACCCCCAAGACCAACAAAAAATACTGGAGAGATTTGGGAGGAATTCACCTTGACTGACAGAAGTTGTAGGTACTGGGATTTATAGTTGACCTACAATCAAAAAGCACTCTGGACCCCACCAGAATGGCCGTGGACCTAACTTGGCACACAGAAACCCCATGACCAACAAAAAATACTGGAGAAGTTTGGGGGAAACCGACTTTCATTGATGGAAGATAGTTCACTGACATCCAGAGACACTGTGACCACCACTGGCGATGGATCTGGACCAAACTTAGCACACAGGACCCCCATGACCAACTGAACCGACTGGAGAAGGATTTGATGGGACTGACGCACCACAGTGGGAGTTGTAGTTTATCCTGCAGCCAGAGATCACACTGAACCCCACCAATGATGCATCTAGATTAGCTATTGGCCAACTTGGGCCTTCCTCCAGGTGTTTTGGACTTCAACTCCCACCATTCCTAACAGCCTCGGGCCCTGGCCCGAGGCTGTTAGGAATGGTGGGAGTTGAAGTCCAAAACACCTGGAGGAAGGCCCAAGTTGGCCCATACCTGATCTAGAGCAAACTTGACAAACTTAACTACTAATGGAGTTTCAGAGGGTTAACCTGGCCTGATGTAAGCTGTAGTTCACCCACAAACATTTTGTAAAATTAACGTTGTCCCAAACTATGAGTAATTCAAGAACTCAAAAGGGGGGGGGGGCATTGAAATAGGCCATTTTCCCTCCCTGAAGGAGACAGGAAAAGCCAGAAGAGGAGAAAGGGGGGCGACTTCTTTCTCCCTCGGCCTTTCCCTGACAGAATGGCGGCTCCTTTTCCCCCTCGGCGCGGCCCACCCTTGTTCCTGACCTGTCTGTGGGAGACGACGAGGCTCTTGTTGCCCTCCCCGTGGTAGCGCCATTCATTCTCGTCCATCTTCTCCGCTTCCATTCCCCAGCCCGAGGCCCTTCTCCTTCCGCTCAGAGCCAGCCCGCACGGCTCGCGCCTCTCTCCTCTTCTTCGCCTCCCTCTCTCGGGTGGGGTGCGCGCGCAGCCTGGACTTGGCGCGCGGGCGGAGGCCGGCAAGCACGCGCGCTCGCCGCTCCCACGTTTGGGTATTTTTCCGAATCTTATACACATATATACACACTCCCTCCCTTTTCTCTGGGCAGAAAAAGGAAGTTCCGCCTTCCGCCAAAGGAATATACGTGACGCAAGGAGGCGGGACTTCCGTTATGAGCCATCTTTAGTATGGGTACCGTAGCTTCGGCAGCCATTTTTTTTCGCCCCATCGCTAGAATAGAATCTGGGTGGCGAAGGGACGCGAAGGGACGGGACTTCCGCAATAAGCCATCTTTAGTGCGGGCAGGTGAGCGTCGGCAGCCATCTTTCCTTATGACCGTAAGGTGTGGGAAACACCGTGCCTGTTCTCGGAAGGACGGAAAGGCTTCACTGAGCATGCGCAAGTGGCTTGAGAAAGTGGCCTTTCTGCTGAGCTCAATGAGGGAAAGGAGCAGCAAATCCGGTTTGTGAGTCGGTTTGTTACCTGGAAGCGTGGGTTTCGCTTGCCTCCCCCGAAATAACGTCACGCGTGGCCATCTAGACGTATCCACGCCTCACCTATCTTCTATCTATATAAATAAAAATGTAATGTTCGTTTGTGGGATTAACATAACTCAAAAACTACTGGACGAATGGACACCAAATTTTGACACAAGACACCTAACAACCCAATGTATGTCCTTCACTCAAAAAAATTGAGTTTGTCATTTGGGAGTTGTTGCTGGGATTTATAGTTCACTTACAATCAAAGTGCATTCTGAACCCCACCAACGATGGAACTGAACCAAATTTGGCACACAGATCTCCCATGACCAACAGAAAATACTGGAAGGGTTTGGTGGGCAGTGTCCTTTGGTTTTGGAGTTGTAGTTCACCTACATCCAGAGATCACTGTGGACTAAAACAATGATGGATCTGGACCAAAACTCTACACGACTACTCAATATGCCCAAATATGAACACTGGTGGAGTTCGGGGAAAATTGAATCATGACATTCAGGAGTTGTAGTTGCTGGGATTTATAGTTCACCTATAATCACAGAGCATTCTGAACCCCACCAACGATAGAATTGGGCCAAACCTCCCACAAACCCCCATGTGGGCCACAGCAACGCATGGCAGGGGATGGCTAGTAATCTATATAAATCAAAATGTAATGTTTGTTTGTGGGATTAACATAACTCAAAAACCACTGGACGAATTGACACCAAATTTGGACACAAGACACCTCTCAGGCCAACGAGTGACCATCACTCATAAAAACACTGAAAAACGCAACAGAAGAGACTTTAAAAGCATAAAAATAAAAATACATTACAATTCATGTGCCAAACCACATATACACAAACATATACTCACACATATACACACATATATGTACACACAAAACACATATACACAGACTGAGCCACAGCAACGTGTGGCAGGGGACAACTAGTCTATATAAATAAAAACGAAACATTTTTTCACAAACAAAAATATTTAAAATATTGTGCATAAAATGACCTTCAGGCAGTGTGTCACAGGGCCCTTCCACACAGCCATATAACTCAGAATATCAAGGCAGGTAATTCACAATATCTGCTTTGAACTGAGTTACCTGAGACTACACTGCCATATAATCCAGCCCAATGTGGATTTTATACAGCTGTGTGGAAGGGGCCTGAGACATCAGTGAATTCCTGGTCAGACTTGAGTCCCTTCTTCAAGATTTCTCACTATTTTATACAAATATATCAAAATCTGGAAAACAAAATCTGAAATACAAAACACATTTGGTCCCAAATGTTCCAGATAAGGAATACTCAGGCAGGATCTATTCCATATACTATGATCAGTTTCTGAATGTAGATTAACTGCTTTAAACTAGGGGCCGGGCTTTAGCACGACAGTAAATCTTGCCAATTGAAAGGTTGACAGTTGGAAGCCTGGGTCAGGGTGAGCACCTGGCCTTTAGCCCAGCTTCTATCTACCTAGCAGTTCAAAAGCAAATATGAGTAGATAAATAGGTACAACTTTAAAGTGGGGAGGGATTTAAGGCAGCCATAAGGAAATACCAGAAAAATGATGGCAATGCTATCAAAGAGGAAGTTTACAAACAAAGCTGGGAAGATGAAGCGACAGCACCCCACTCCCCATGGCTAGAAGTGAGCACAAGTCTCCAAGATACTGAAGATGGGAAAGCCTATATATATCTCTATCTGTGTACAATAGTCTGTCTTGTTAGTGTATATCAGCATTGAATGTTTGCCATACATGTGTTCTGTGATCCGCCCTGAGTCCCTTTTGGGATGAGAAGGACAGAATATAAGTACTGCAAATAAATAAATAAATAATAGTCTGCACTTCCATATAATCTAGTTCAAAGCAGTTAAATCTGCATTCTGAAAATGGATTATATAGCAGTATAGATGGGGCCACAGCCTGTATAGGTGTTCTGCTCACATCCAGGAATAGTAAAACACATCAGAACAGTACATATGAGGTTATGTCTTTTCCCTTTGAATCCCTTCCTCTGCACTAGAACTGGATGCTTAGTTATGAAGGGATGAGGAACGGTAAATGGATTGCTTCAGAGAGGTTGGAGATATGTGCTGGTTCAAATCATGCACATGTCAGGGCTCAAACCAAAAGGAATTATAGCTTTCGGAGAGCAGTTGTTGGAAGGGGTTTGGGCTGCTGTTGGCTTGGCCCTGCTTGAGGGGATGTTTATCTTAAGGGAAGGTCTCCTCTCCACTTTACCTTGGCAGTCCATCCTTGAGAAAACGATGAATCCCGTTAGTTGCAGTACCATGTTCGAAAACATACATATGGGGAATAAGAATCTACTTTTAGTTTGAAGGCTGAATACAATTTCAGTGAAGTTCCAAAAGGAGTGGGACCAAAACACAAAAGGGTGGGACCAAAATACTATCAGATTTCATCATAAAGCTGTTATTCATTGTAACTAAGTCTTAGCTAAGATATTTCAAAGATGTTTTAGAATGGGGAAAACACCATATAAAGAACAGGAAGCATGAAGCAATGGCCTCATGGGGAAAGGGCTGTGGAACCATCTATGGAATCATGTTGGGACTCTAGGAGGGCTGGATTCAGCCTGAGAGTCTCCATTATGGAGTTGTATAGATAATCTGAGCATAAATGTTATCTTGAAATGCCAAATTCCAGAGTTTAACCATGCAGTATTCATGTCAAAGATTAACTTGGTAACCCTGGGATCTAGTGCCATAAGAGGAAGAGAGCTCAGTTACTTCACATTAGTGGCACCTAATTAGTTCCAGCTAAATTTAATTGTGCAAGTGTAATGGTGCTACACTGGTATCTACCTGAGAAAACAAATTATCCTGGCCCAGAGCCTACTAAGTGATAAGAATGCAGTCTTGATACAGGTCCTTCATGTGGAAGAATTAGTCTGAATTCCTTCCAGCCAAAAACTTAATTGAAATCCTTGGGCTTCAGCTCAAATACTATTGACACAGCGATTTTCCTTCCAGATCCTTCAGTAACTAAACTTGTTCAAGCATGGACCTTGGGCGAAAATGAGTTCAAGTATTTTATTTACTCTGAGGTGAAATGTTACCCAACTCTCATCCTTTTCTTAAAACTAAACATTCACACATGCTGTGACTCACTTCCTTGGAGGGAAAATAATGTTGAAACAGTTAAGAGATGAATGCATCTGAATTCTTGAGAATTTTACCATTTCTAAACCAGCCAGTGAAGGCCAGCACATACTGGTTGATTTTTCCGATTACAAGCAAGCAAAATTGAAGGTTTTATCCATATTTTGTTGATTACTGGAGGACCTTGTACTCTGGCTTGTCTCTCCCTCAAACAAGCCATGGTTTGTACTATTTTTACTTCTCTAGTTTGTCATGAGTGATAACCCAAAGGAACGGGTCTTGTTTCATTTGCATGTAACAATAAAACACAAACACATTTCTGGGAGGTTCATTATTTGTTTAGTTATTCACATTTAAAGCTGGGATGATTGGGAAATATGCAATAGCATTCTCCTTATATAAGAAACAGCAGAGTGACATCAGATTTTTTTGACTTGAAGTAGTCTGAGTTTGGTAGTTGTTTAATACATTATCTATATGGAGATGCAAGAATAGTGTGACATAAATTGTGTACTAAGCTGTTCATTTCGTTAAAGAAAATATATATTATTACATTTAAAGGTGAAGATTTTTTTTAACGCTGTAGTTCAGTGACTCTATATATGCTCATTTCAGGTTACAGTCCGGTGAAGACATGCAGAAATTCCAACAAAACTCACTCACTTTTGAATAGATATGTATAGAATTGCACCATCAGTCAAGTGGAATGAATACAATTCTTTTGCTGCCTTAATTCTCCATTATGGAGTTGTATAGGTGATTATGTTACTGCAGATTGACTGGATTTATGCAATTTTTAAAAAATATATATATATTTAACATGCTCTGCAACAATAATATTTGTACCAACAAATTATGAGATGTTCAGCAGGAACTCTGAATTCGAAGACTGCAATCCTATATGTCAGCCAGGAAATGCTGCTTAATATTTTAGTATATATTTTTCCTATTAGCCAGGAAACCACAAAATTCAATAGAGGATTATTGTAATGACATATAAATATCCAGTGTATTCTTTTGTCTTCATTTGAGGGACTAGAATTGAAAGAAGTCAGTGGTTCTTAAGTTATAAGCCATTTTATTATTTTAGCATCATATGGGGGTTTTAATCTTTATTGATGAACATTTTGTTAGCATGTGTACAGTGGTTTTATTTATTTCATGTCAAAAGCATTGCATAAATAAGTATAAAACTGATAAAAATAGAGGGAACACAAGTGGTTAAATAAATTTTGACCAAAAACGGGCAACAGCGACCAAATTGTCTGTAGTTTTAAACAATTCTTCCTCTCCACATGAGGCAGGGCATTGTGGACAAGCATACGTATGCAGAGTTGTTTGCTCTGATCCACAGTCGCACAAGGTGGAGGATTCTTCTAGGTAGTACAATTTTGTCATGTTGTCTTTGATTCTTCCAACTCCAGTTCTGAATCTGTTCAGGGACTTCTTGCTTTGCCCCTGGAGGAAGACCCT